GATTTAATGAGATTTAGTTTGATGCAATCGATTGCTCCATAAACGCATTTTTTGATCATATTTACCAATTTATGGTGCAACCTAAATAAAATAACTTTTCCTTTATCCACTTTATGGTGCAATTAGAAACTTTGCACCAAGTATTGGTTAAACATTTACCCAGATTTTCTACAGTGTAGGCATAAATAGAATTCGACAAGACGACTGCATTTAAAATACTGGTGACAACATTATGTTGGCAAAAACAGTTTACTCATGGTTTTTTATTTTCTGAGTAATGATTCTCTTATATTATCTGAAAAATTAATTATAATTCTCATATTTGTGTGAACACGTAATGAAAGTCATAATGGTGCTATCAGATTTGATTAAAGAAAATATTTTTGTAGTGGAGTTTTTAGTGAATAATTTTGTTTTACTGATTCTAAATACTTTTTAAAACAGGTGATTCTATGGCATATCATAATGGTATGAGTTTCTCAACGAAAGATAGAGACAACGATCTACATGCACAGCACTGCGCATACTGGTGGAAGGGAGGTTGGTGGTATAACGCATGCCACTACGCTAATTTAAATGGTTTGTATTTAAAAGACATTCATAACCAATTTAGATATGACATGGTAACATGGAAGACCTGGAAAGATTATACAGTCTCCTTGTCTAATGTTGAAATTAAAATTCGACCAATTGACTTCTAAATAAAGTGTTTACAGTGTATAAACTGTGTGTATTGTAAGTTATATTTAAGATACTACACCAACTTTTATTGCTGGAGCAGAATAGATGAAAATTTCAAGTGACAGTTTAGTGAGCTTTAGTAAAAGTTTTCTCGAAATTTATGCGTTGACAATAGGAAATGAAAATTATATTCTGGTTTTGTTTCTTATTTACAATTGGCAAAATTTTAAAACTCGCGCACTCACTTAACGTTGTTTTTCGAAGCTTTGTCACCAAGGAAAATAAAAACGCCTAAGTTTAAGTGCCTTATACATGAAGCACTGCGATAATTAAACTGTATATATATAATCTTGCTGTGAGGAATTATCTGGGCTATAGAACAGACAATTAACTTAAATATTTTAAAAGTTATTAAGCCCTTTTAAATATTGCCAAATTAGCGATATTTTTCCACCAATATGAAAATTATCAAAATCAATGCCTTATTCTCATTTTTTGCGAATTTTTATGAGCCCAAGTAATGCGGAATTGAAGTAAGTTTTTAAATATTAAAAAATTAGAACGCAAACGCTTTTTATTTTCATTAAGCTGTGGTTTTTCTCCGTATTGACGTTCTGCGTCATTTTCAAAATAAACGTAGACAGCGTCGGCTACAGATAGACTAAACTTGACCTAACAGTCCTGAGTAACAGGCCTTCTAATGTCGTTTTCGATATTCGTTGACAAATGCACTTGGCTTTTTCTTGAACTCCAAAAACTCCAATGACTTGTATAATTAAACTGATAGTTGCCCCTGCTAAGGTTGCCCTTGTATTCTATTCCTATGATAAACGAGTTTTTTTTAAATCCTTTAAACTTCAATGAATAATTTTATGTTTCAGATTTCAAAAATAAGGAGGATAAATTATTTTAGGTGACATTTTTGTGAATTTCAATATGTTAAACCGGTCTATTCTATTTTGCGTGAGAGAAACTAAACATCGTACCAAGCCTTTATATCTTGATCACAAGTTTCTAGTTAGCGAAATCTATAAATTCCCACCTTTCATTTGAACTGTTTGCATCTTGGCGTTTTGATAGTTTGCCGTAAGTGAGTCTTTCTAAGGTTGTTTTCAATATTGTTTATCAAATGCACTTGGCTTATCCTTTAACTCCAATAACACTGAAAGACTGTCGCTTCATATTTTCATCTACTAGGATCAAAAACATTTTATAACTCGTATAGTTAAAAGCAAATTCTCAATTTTTTAAAAAAAGGTCTCACATATTACCTACCTCTATTAACCTCTCTTGCTTTTAAGACATTTTGAAAAACTGAACTTTAAAAATATTTGTTTTTATAAAGAATGAGTTAAATAATTTGTTTCTATCCATAACAATTGTGGATCAAATAAGAGCTACATTAATAAAGAACTTGAATATAGCACAAAAATAAACTTGAAAGTAGACATACTAAAGTTTCGGCTCGATAAGCAAATATTTTCATGAGTATCAAAACACACAATCACAGAAGAGAATGTTAGAACAAATACGTTTATCCAATACAGGGCTTGAGAAAAATAATAAAATAGGAAGATTAGAAGGATGTGTATGGGGAAGGGGTGAGAAACGCAGGTGTGCAAGATGTAAGAATTAAATTAAAGAAGATTTTCGAATATTAGGTGTCAATGCGATTTTTGAGGGATCATTAACTGAATTATTAGAATTTTTCAAAATATGGTACGCTTCCCAGAAGTCTAGGTCAGTAACTAAAGAGCCATGTTTAATGATTTTCGAAAATTCAATCATATAATCACAATTTTAATTACATAAGATGATAGAAGATTGTCATATTTCTGATTTCAATTATATATTTCATGATAAGTCGAAGTTTAAGGGTGTGTTTAGTTTGTCCAATAAATGCTAAACCACACTGACCAGAAATTTGCTAAATACTCTATTATCCCACTTTTCCTTTATGAAACAGATGAAAAAAATTGATATTCATTCCAAATTTTGGCTCGCATCTTGCTTTTTTTAATGCAGTATAGTGCAATCAAATCACATAAGTTGAAAAGTTCGCTTTTCAGATATATAAAGATTTAAAATAAAACATATCACCATTTGCTGTTATACATAAGTTTAAAAACTTTCAAAATTAGATTTCTTTTGCTTGTTCATACATTTATTTTTTGCTTTGAATTTAGGCAAGAAATCCTTATTTTAACAAAATATTTAGCTAATATTATTTTGCATTTCATCATCATAATAAAAAATAACGAGAAACTTTCTCGACAAATTCTGCTTATTTATATTCATCAGAAATATCTTAAAATTCTGCGTCTGGATTTATAAATATGATGAACTAATAAATTAAATTACTACATTTTTAAATATGACTCCTCAGTATTATTTTGAAGCATCGGTTTAAACTTTTCTTTGCATTTGCGTTCCGTATCTTGTCGTAGAAGAATGATAAAACGATGTAACTTTTGCATTAATTTTATGATTAAATTGAATAAAATGATTAATGATGCATTTTTAAACGATTAATTTGCATAAAGTAATCATTTAAAAAGTTCTCTATGTCAAAGTTTAAAACTTAAATCTGAAAAAGAGTAAGAATATCACTAAAAAAATAGTACAATTTAACATGTTTCAGGACAAGTTTTCAAATTTTGGAAATTTTTACACACTTTAAGAAATGGATACTCAAATTTTAAATTTTTTTCTTTGTTTATGCTTTGATGAAACAGTTTCCTGGCATTTGCTTTGAGAGTACATTTCGTTGTAACTATCGTCACTTCTTAAAGGAAACGAATTTCATAAAAAGCTAAGAAATATTTAGTCATTCTAGTTTCGATCGTCTACGTGAGAGATAGAGAATACTTGATTAGAGATAGAGAATATTAGATTAGGGCATGGGAATACTAAACCGACAATGCATTGCGATGTAGTTCAGAGATGAAACATTTTTGTCATGTATTTGAGAGTTCACGTCAAACCACGTAATTTCGAGACGAAATGATTCTCAAAATTAACGAAGTACTGCTCATGAATTACCGAATCGTCAAAAGAGAAAATTTATTGTAGGCTGTAGTAAATTATTTCTTTATCTAATCTATTTTAAAAGAAATCAAATATTTAATATTTGATAATTTAAGAATAATACTGATTTCTAATTTCTGAATAAATCTTTGCCGCATTTTGTTTTAATAATTTTCACACATAAATTACTTATAAAAATTTTAAATGCATGTTGTTAATGAGATATGAAAAACTTAATTATAAATTAATTCGAATTAAAGTCACAAATATGATTTAATCTTTTTAAAAAAAATTCACAATTTTTCTTTTAATTGACAAGCTAATGCTTTTATATTTCTGATTATATTTGAATTAGTAATAGAAAGGTCGAACTTCAGTACAGCATTGTTTTATTTTATTTTATAACCGTCGTTGAACAGCCGACTTAATTTTTTGGGTTCACGACTACCAATGTTCAACTTCGTAGCATTGTAATTTTTAATCCAATACAGAAGAAAAGGGAACTCCTGGATTAAATATTGCGAAAAATTTGCCTTCATTGATGACTTTTTGACCCGTGTTTGCGTTATATGTAGAGGAAAAAGACGGAAACTCCCACGGTTAGCCTGATGGCAAGAGGGCCTCTAACACATCCGTCTATCACCGAGGATATTTTGTCAACAATGTGGTCGGCGCAAGCCGGATTCGTGTCGATGGGATTTGAACCTGGTTCACCACATTGGAAGGCGAACGCTCTATACCTGAGCCATGACAGCTCAGAACAGTATTGTTGATGTTTTCAATTTAGCGTGGACCAATTTGAAGTTTAAAATCAAGGTTTCTGTGATGTAATATATCACTGTGATTCCTAACAAAGACGCATTGTTACTTTGAATAATTGGTATCTACTAACAAATAAAGATTCCATAATTCAAATTATTGAAAGAATTCGTAATACTTATAGATAGAAGTTTTTATTTATTTCTATTCCCGCATGGAAACAAATGATAAATACCAGCTGTACTCAAACATGATATTTGTTATGAAATTTTTTAAATGAAATGCACTTTCCATTTTCCATTAAAGATTTTATTTCGAGTATCTTAAAGTAACTTGAATGGATTATTATTTGTACTTACAGATGTAAGCTATTTAGATTTTATGGAAGAAGCAGGGGTTGAATTCAAAAAGCTAAAACTCATTATTTCATCAAGATTATTTAATACTAAGTACGATAAACGTTTTATCTGGTCTTTTAACCTTCACTTGAGAATTATCTGGTCTTTTAACTTTCACTTGAGAATTTTCCTAATCGCTACAGATGGTGTATAGTAGTTACCTATAAAACGAAAAATGAAATACATTATATTCTAGACGGTCAAAAATTATTCCACAGTCTTGATTACAAAAGAAAAAACATGTAAGTAAATTTATTCTTATTTTTATCATATTGCTAGCTGAATTCCCGTTTTCTGTTCGGGGTGAAAAAAGTAAATAATCAAAAAAAAAAAAAAAAAAAAAAAAAAAAAAAAAAAAAAAAAAAAAAAAAAAAAAAAAAAAAAAAAANCAATACTAAATAACTCTTAAACCATTCACAAAACTAAAAGACTTATAATAGCAGAAAAAAATGAAGTTAAAATAAATATAATTTCACCTTATTACTAGCTGAATACCCTTTCTTCGTATGATAGGGAAAGAAAAGAAAATAATCAATAAGTCAGTGATGAATGAAATCATGTACAAAACTAAAGTTATCTACCGACAAAATTAATGAAGCTGAAATAATTCCTTATTTTTTAGTTATTATTATTTGTTGCCCTTCAAGTTGCTTTATGTTATTAGAATATGCAAAGCACGTTTTTAAAAGTTCATCTCGTCAAATGCTTAACTGTTTTCAGTATCATTTGTACAGTATTTATGAACTTTTAATAAGTATAAAATACACCAATATAAAACATTGCACCAGTGTTAATTTTTTTCGTACATATTAAAACTGCACCAATTACCATAATACCAAGAGTACCAATTACCTAAATTAAGCATCATTGGTGAAAATAATATTATAGCGATTTTTTACGTTTCTCCTACACAATTTAATAGTATTATTCCATTAGTTCTGTTTTTTGGAACATAGATTATTTTTTTAAATTTAAATTAATACCTAATTCCAAAATCAATTAAACATCATTAGCGTCGATTTTTTCTTACATGAATTACTGCCATTTTTCAATTGATTTTATTTTTAGTTCATAGCTTTTTTTGTTTCAATTAGAGCCGATTACCAAAACTAATTAGCATCATTGGCGTCAATAATAGTATAGCGATATTTTATGGTGAACGAAAGAGTAACATTTCTCTATAATTTTGCTTGTTTGTATGCACCTTATTTTTATTTAAATTATTAAAAACTAAACTCAGCGGCGCGACAGCCCATAGAGGGCCAAAGCCTGTGCCCATCTCAGTTTTCTTGACCTTGGGCTCTGGGGTGCAGGAGCAGATGTTCCGGTCCGGTGGTCAGCCGAACGCGGAACCCCCAGTGTTTAGCTCCCAAGCATACTTGGTACTCATTTATCGATCCACTGAAGGGATGAAAGGCTGATTCAACCTTGCCCGGTCCGAGGATCGAAAAAGGGACCTGTGGCACGACAGCGCGAAGGGCAACCGGGCAATTTAAATTAGCCACCGGGCAATTTAAATTATTAACAACATTAATTAAACATCAATTGCGTCAATAATTTTAGCGATTTTTTACGTTTTCCCTAAATGAATATCATAATATCATTAGTTAATATATTCGTTAGTATCATTTCCCAATTAGTTTTCCTTTTCCGTATATAACTTATTTAATTCAATTTCCGTCGATTTTTGGTGATTTAGACGTTTTTAAAGCACAACTATCACCAAAATGATCACGTAGTTTTGGATGACTCTAGAAATACCATCATAATGACGTAGTCCACCTATATGCCACCACATTCAAATTGATTATTTAGTTTCCCTGTCATAGTGAATCAAGAGTTGTGGCGTAACTACCACTACGATTATTAAACATCAATTCACTGCTATATATATGACATGCTAACTTGATTCAATCTCGAGGTACCTTTTGATTGATAAAGGTTGGCATTGTCGATAACTCCTCCCACCCCCAAATTGGTGACTTACGGACGTGATGCGAGCACGCAAATCTTGATAGTAACGCCCCCTTAGATCTGGTAACGCCTACTTCGTTGGATGGTCCACATTGAACAGTTGACTTGCTACTTGTAACTGCGACATCATCCACCTCCTCACGCTGTTGCTGCTCAGTCTCGCCTCGATCATACACAACGTCAGCCTGCATACACTCGACTGCTAAAGTCAACACAGGAGCGACTACAACCGTGAAGTTAATACACCTCTCACATTCAGCACTCAAAAACCCAGTGACCTTAACTCAGCTCTCCAGATCTTTCACGAGTACAGCAACTAGTGGTATCCGTTCATCGAATTCTATCCCAGATAAAATTTTGGTGGGGGAGTATTGTGGCGTAAACAAATATTAAACATCAATTCACTGGTATATAATACATGCTAACTTGATTCAATCACGAGGTACCTTTTGATGGATAAAGGTTGGCATTGTCGGTAACTCTCCCCCCCCACAGAGTATTAAAATATTAAAAAACGTGCATCAAACTTCATCAAATAGGCTAGCAAACATCACTGATGTTATTTTTAAAATTTTTGAAAAAGTAAAACAGTCTATAATTTAATCACAATTTTGACTAAAGCTTAAAAAATGGAAAACAGATTTTTCAAACGTTTCTAACGAACGAAATATTTGAAAATTTCGAATGATTTTTAAGATTGTGGGCTGAAACTTCCTCTTCCAACTACTATCCCAATTTCGGGACGTTAGAGCAAACGGTTCTGGAGTGATAAGAAAGAAAAGTATGCACACAAACTCTTTATTTTATTATTATAGATTATTTCTAGTTGTAGATTAATAAACTGCTGTTTGTAGAAAATGCAACACCATGAAAGAATCATCAGAATCAAATGAAATTTAATGCAGAAACGACTTGTACNAATCAAATACATAATACAAATACAAAAGCAGAAAAAATAGACATTTTTATGACCATTTTCCTGAAAATTAACCAATCCTTAAGGGGTTAAATAAAGATACCAAAGAAATACTGTTGTAAAAGTGTACTCACAAAGATACTTTACTATGTGAGACATACTTTTATTTGGATTATTTCTAAGCGTTACGATTAAAATCCTAATCATTTATAAATTTTAGGCACATTGCTTCTGTTGTCTCAATTGTTATAATTTTGAGCTATGGATCTGAAGCTCATATGGATGACTTAAACGAGGAGACAGATTTGCAGCAAGATTCTGCTCAACAAAATGTCAATAAAGAATGTAAGTAAATTTTAGGTAGACTGCTTTATTCATTTCAATTGCTTTTAACTTCGAATTATGGATCTGAAGTATATATAGATGACTCTGAATTTTGTGAGTGTATGTGATGTTTTGTAATAAGTACTTGAAAGTATGTATCAGTTATTTTCCAAAACATTTAGTAAAATCTCTAAAATTTGTAAAAAAAAAGAATAAATAAAATGAAAATAACTTAAGCATATGCATTTAATTCTAGATGGCAGCACCAGTTAAGTTTGTTGGAAATGGGCGATTTTCATAAAATATTTAAATATTTGTAATTTTAAAATATTTAAGTTATTTGTCCGTTTTAAAAACCAGCTAATTCTTCACGGCAAGATAGTATATATAGTTTAAAATTATAGCTTTGTTATAAGTGTATGGTACTTTATCTGTGGTCTTTCATTTTCCTTCTCGAAAGTGCTCTGACCCAATTTAGAGCTTGTTTGTTCCCTATACTGTATTGAAGTTTGTAGTTCCCTATACTGCATTGAAGTTTGTTGCAGCTTTCTTTAGATCAGTTTCGTAATCCAAGGCTGCAACAATCTTTTTGTCTCGTTACAGGTAATATTACCAATTTTGTTGTATTATCTAGTTGCGCTTTAGCGTTATTTTTAATTGATTCGTCCCCTAATTTTTCGTTCATTTTACTTAATTATACATAAATTTTACAGTATAGTTTTTATGTATTTTATTTCAATATAACTTTATATCATTTTCATTGATAGTTTTAAATTTCGAACAAAATTCAATATTTACAAAAAGTATACAATATAACTATAAAATATTTTTAATTGATTCAATGTATTGGTTTTTTCATTGCTTTTTAAAAATGTTCCTATTCAAAATATGTTACATGTGTTAAATTCCAATAAAAAACGTAATCTTTACAGTTAGATTAAAATGATTTAAAAAAGTTTTGCCCATAATTATTTTTAATTCTTTTTAGGGTATCATGTATTACTGTGGTATTTTTATTTATAATTATATGGTATGAACACAGTTCTGCGAAAACGACATTTAGGAATTTAAAAATGTTTATTTCATACTTTCGTCTAAAACACAATGTGTTGTTTCTTTTTTATTTTCACGAGATAAATGCTTATAACAATAGATTAAAATGTAATCATTAAAAAATACATAAAGATACAAAGAAAAAAAGAGAATATTTGAAACGTCTTATTTTATACGTTTTTAGTTATTTATAATTTTTTAAAAAATCTTAACGTTCATTCAAAACATCCATTCAATTTTTTCTAGCTTGATCGAGAAATATTTTTTGCCTGTAACCCCTTAACGATCGGTTAATTTCAAGAAAACGGTCATAAAAATGCCTATTTTGCCAAATACACGTATTTGATTAGTGCTGACATCTAGTTTAAAATAAACTAACTATCTACAATTACCTTAAGAATATCCTGGTAGTGCTATCTGGTGTGTAAAATGAGAAATAGAATGTTTTCCGGGCGACAGAAATCAATCAGTTTTATTCGCGTTAATTCGCGTTCCAGAAATTTCACGGGAGCGAGAAATAGAGGGCGAAACTTCACCCCGTCATTTTCACGGTAGAAATGAAATCAACAAATTTTGAAAAAAAATTCTAAGTGTATCTTTATTTAGGTGTCTCTTGTCAAAAGCCAGCGGATTGTGCTGAACTTATTGAAAACGGCTACGAGGAAAATGGAGTATATGAAATTTATCCTAAAAACAGGAACTTACAATGTTCTTCTATTGAAGTCTACTGCGATATGAAAACAGATGGCGGAGGATGGACGGTAAGTCCAAATTTTTTTACAATAAAATTATGACCGAAGCGCGATCTTCGAGTTTATCTCACGCAATCTTCCGAAAGATAGCTGTTAAAATTTTACTAATTAGGTAGAAATTTTTCTCGAGTTTTTTTTGTTGTCGTATGCCTGTTTAGGCAGTGGGGGTGCGATTGTTCCTGTTTTTTAGTGGCGCCATCGATGGCCTGGAATTCGACTTCTGCCACGCTATTCACGCAGCCACAACCCGTTTATAGGGCTGGTCACATTCACACACAAAGGAGAAAGAACATAGAACACGCATAGAGAGAAAGAAACATCCATGCCTTGCCCGGGATTTGAACCCAGGACCTTTCTGATGCAAGGACAGTTCTCTGCCCCCTACACAGGCCGGTCGGGCTCGGGTTTGTTTGATTCTAATTTACATAAAATATCGTATCTATAAAACATGGTTACAAATTGCTATTACATTAAACCATAAATGTATGGTACATAGAGATGAATACATTAAAGTTTCGTATGATTACAATGTATTAAACATTTAAAGAGTTACATAATAACAGTACATTACAATGTATCAAACTTTATGTAATTATGACAAGATATTACATATATCAATGCGTCACATTATATTATACATCATGCTATTATGTAGATGTTTTGCGTCACATTATATTATACATCATGCTATTATGTAGATGTTTTGCGTTGTATGTTTTATAAATAAAGGTATGAAACAGAGTAACACATAGAGATTAACACACTCAAGTGCCATATAATTACAATGTGTTACAATGTATCATACTTTTAGAGTGTTATATGATTATGCATTAAATATTTAGAAAGTTACATTATAAAAATATGTTGCAATATACCATATGTTATGTTATTATTACAAAACGCAACGCATGACCGTGTAGCATTATATTGCACGTTATGCTATTATGTCAATGTGTTGCATTGTATGTTTTACAATTAAAGGTATGACACATTGTAGAACACATTGTGACACAAATATTGCCACATTTGATTAGAATATGTGGCAATTTGAGAGTGTTATATGATTGCATTTTATTCTGCGTTTAAGTATATATTATGATTGTGTTACAATCTGTATCTGTTTGGAATGTTACGAGAACATTTCGATTTTACCTTAATTTTCTTGAAAAAGAAAGGATTTTAAGATATTCCTGATATTTATTTCTGATAGTACTGCGAAGAATGTTATTTATTTATTGCGAATCAAAAATATATCAGTGATAATATAATATTGATTAAATATTATTTATGAAATATTTTAAGGTGATTCAAAGAAGAGGGGACTTTAAGAGACCAAGGGATTATTTTTATAAAACTTGGGCTGAATATAAGGTTGGATTTGGTGGATTAAAGAAAGACTTTTGGCTTGGTAAGTTCAAATTTGGTTTCCATCTACCCAAGATAGTTACATTTTCGGTTAGATTAAAACATACTACGTCTAAATACGATAGAGAAAACATAAAAATTAAAGAAATACAGATTTATTTGGTCGTTCGGAAACTAAAATCGTTTATACCTTCTTAATTGCTTTCTGCTACAGCAAATTTCAGACGTAAGCTAGAGTTCCTGATATCTAACTCTTATTAGTTGGAGAGTTACGACAATGGCTTTAAAATTGTCCAAAATAGCTGGTTTACGAAAGAGAAAGATAATGGAATGGTTACCACTCTTGGCGACGCCTCCCTACAATTTCATTTTCTTCCTCCGTGTTGGAAACTTTTAAATTACACAGTTTTTTTTTTTAAATTTTAATTTTCTTTTAGTATTATATATGATTTTTAAGTCAAAGATATGTTAAAAATGAAGCTAAAATGGAGAGCATTTTGAATGAAAGAGTAAATTATTGATAACTTTACAATTTAAATTGGTAAAATTAAATTAGTGAAAGTTTTTTCCTTATTTTTATTACTTATATAAATATTTTTATCTTAATATTAATAACTTTTACATTTTATTATTATTTTTTTTATTAACTTAATGGATTCTTGATATCTTTGTGATGGAACCTCGATAGAGGAATTTTTGTGTCCATGGAATCTTGCATTCAAAACTTAGATCACTTTTCGACTAGCTAGTGCACTAAAGACAGTACTTAGCCATCGTGTCTGTTGTAAATGCAAGATTCAATCCTTTTTCTGCCACTATCTACAGAATTTACCTCGACATCACTGTCACAGAGAGTTTTTTGTCAACCAAAATTTTCTGACCACTGAAGTTCTATGCTGAGTTGCAAAAGTATTTTCAATCATTTCACGACCATTATCAGCAAAATTTATCAAGAATTATTGCCAAAGGAAACTTATTGCTGTCTAATTGTCAACCACTTTCTGATTAACTAGAGTGCATACTTCGTGAGAGCCCCACTGTGTCTGATGATAATGTAAGCTTCAATCCTTACCGAAACACTCAGAATTAATTATTGTATTATCTCAAAATTAACTGATTGCTGGAAACATCCACTTTCCGAAAAACTGGAGTGTTTAAACGTGCTACAGGCATCCGAGCTTGATGACAAATTAAATAATAATTATTTCTTTGTGACTTTGTCTCGAGCGGAATTTATAGCCTTATTATTTTTATAATAAATTTATAGTGAATCAAAATTTCAATTACTGTCCGATTAGCTAGAGATATACAGGTATAGGACAAAATAATAGGAACACCTGTGAAAGAATGGAGTCGTTCTCGACCGTTCAATAAGCGGCGGGCACGTGTCGCAAGAATGTGCCACCTAGTGGTGATGAAAGGCAAGGTATCTGTCTAGCATTAGGCAGTGTGAGATTTGCATGAGAAAAATCTGTTTCTAGCAAAACTAGATTATGTCCGACCTCTCTGACCTTAAAAGAAGCATGATAATTGGAGCTCGCCTGGCTGGAGCGTCCGTGTTCAGAACAGCGAACCTTGTAGGTGTTTAAAGGACCACTGTATCAAGGACTCTGTCGGCATACACAAAGTTGGTAAGGTGTCTTCGGCGAGGCACAACAGCGGCAGGAAGTCGAAGTTGTCAGATCGTGATAGACGGGTGTTGAGGAGGATAGTCGCTTGAAAACGCAAGACTACACTGCCGGTGATAACATCCGAGATGAATACCCACCTTCAGAACCCTGTATCCATGAAAACCATTCAACAGCAGTAGCATGCTGCTAACATTCATGGCAGAGTAGCTATTTCAAAACCGTTAGTTTCAGCGCGGAATGCTTTGAAGAAACTACGGTAGTGCCAAGACCACCTAAAATGAACACAACTGCAATGGGAGCAAGTCATCTGGTCAGATGAATCTTCTTTTACACTATTCCGGACCACCAGACGTGTGTTCGTGTGGCGAACGCCGGCAGAAGCATTTCATGTTGACTGCCTGGTTCCAACCGTGAAACATGGAGGTGGTTCTGTGATGGTGTGGGGCGCTGTATCTGCCCGTGGATTGGGGTCTCTCGTTGTATTGAGGGGGGTGGTCAAAGGAGACCATTACCGAAGCATTCTTGCAGATCATCTTCACCCTATGCTTCATACTCTCTTTCCGGGAGAACGTCCTGTGTTCCAAGATGACAACGCACCTGTTCACACGACTAACTGTGTTCAAACATGGTTAAATGAGCATAATGATGAAGTGGATCATCTAACGTGGTGTCTTCAGTCCTCTGATTTCAATATCATTGAGCCTTTGTGGGGTTTTTTGGAGAAAAAAGTCCGTGCTCGGTTTCCTCCTCCACGCATACTCTCTGAACTCCAGACAGCCCTGCAAGAGCAATGGCTGCAAATTCCTATGAACTTTGTTCAAGACCTTTATTTGTCAATCCCACGTCGAATGCAAGCTGTCATTCAGGCAAAAGGGGGCCCAAATCCTTATTAATAAAATATTTTCACTTTTTTCACAGGCGTTCCTATTATTTTGTCCTATACCTGTATCTCTAGATATAAAGTCTCTTTATTTTAGTGCAATTTTTTTAAAAATTTGCTGTTGTACTTTTCACTTTTTTTGATCGCAAAGTATATTTTTTTTAATGACTGCTTTATTTTTTTATTAAGAGGATCAAAGAACAAAATGTTACTTGTTTCAAAACCAGGTTAAAAAGAATTTCTTTTCAAAATTATCAGCTTACAATCAATGCAATATAATTTTTTTTTATATTCAGTTGTTTATATTGAAAATTTAATTTTTAGGGAATGACAATATTCATGCCTTGACTTCTCAAAAAAAGTATACAGTCCGTTTTGATCTTGGAGCACATAATGAGACCGCTTATGCTGTTTATGATAACTTTTGGATTGATGATGAACATTACAATTATACCCTGCACATAAATGGTTACAGTGGAACAGCAGGTTAGTTATTGAAAAGGAATTTTATTTTAGGATTAGTTATTTTGTTAAATATTTAATAAAAATAAAATTTTCAACATTGCTATCACACAAACAATTATTACAAATATTGTAAATATTTTTAATAGATATTTACTAGATTCAAAAAAAATCATGAACCTTTTTTTTTTAATATGCATTTTAACGATAGTTTATATTTAACCCGTTGACGCTGAACTTTCAATAAACATATTTTTCATACTTTTATGAAAAATATAGTAACTGGAGGTCAAAATAAAATAAAAAATTATATTTAGCATTTTAAAACTTGATAATGAAATATCAAGCATGGACACCGGGACACTGCCATTGGGGTCACCTTTCCGTGTTACCAAACATGGCTCACTTCTAAAAAATATTTTTTTCAAATTTTCATTTTTTTGAAATTATTTAAGATAATGATTGATCATTGAAATTTCATTTATTTCCGAAATCAATTATTGACAAATTTTTAAATATGAAAGAAAGAAAAATTAAAAAAAAATTTTTTTTTGGGACTTAATATTTTGGAACAAATATATTTCCACGAATCTAACATATTGCTTTTGTTACTCTTGGACTGCTTTTTATTATTAAAAAAAGTACAAAAATATATATTTATTTGTTATTAGAGCGTCCGATAATATGTATATAAAAGGAATACATGTTTTCCCTCTGCGCTAAAGAGTTAAAAGACAGACAATATATTTTTATGTAATTAAAAAAGTATTTTCCCCCTTTGCATTCATTCATTCAATAATTTATTTTCTAGATTCTGAAACACTTTTTAATAAAACAGTGTCAATTAACTTTTTAAGCTAATATTTAAAAAATAAATGCTTTTAATATTTCCAACTTTTCAATCATTGCGAAATTTTTCAATATCCTTTAATCTTCCTTTATACATCATATTTTTTATTTTTTGTTTGTGTACGGTTTTCTCACATCCATAATGCTTCATTTTAATATAAATTTGTAGATTTCTTACATTTCTTTAAATTTAAATTAAGAAAATGTGAGAAATAACTTAATTCAGGTTTCACTGGTTCATAATACGAACTGAATATTACGAATCTTACAGTTGCTAGTTTTAGGCACTCCTTCATTGATGCACTTGTAAATAAAATTATACTTTAAATTAAATTTCATTAGCCGACCAGTCTGTGTAGGGGGCAGGGAATTGTCCTTGCATCAGAAAGGTTCTGGGTTCGAATCCCAGGCAAGGCATGGATGTTTCTTTCTCTCTATCTGTGTTCTATGTCCTTTCTCCTTTGTGTGTGAATGTGTGAATGTGACCCGCCCTATAAACGGGTTGTGGTAGTGTGACGTGGGCGACGCTGTTCCACCGCCGTGGCTTCGCCACAGGTGCCCACTGGGTAACGAAAAGAGAATTAGCAGTTTTGGCACTTTCTGTGGCCAATGGACAGTAGCTCCAAGTGCCCGCCATTTAAAAAAAAAATAAATAAATTTCATTAAAGTAAATTTTAATGATAACACTTTAACAATATTTAAAGTACTTTATCGTCTTTTGTGCAAATTTAAAATTGTTGTGAATTATCGAAAATTATACAGAAATTGCATGCAAATTTTGCTTTTGACTATAACGAGAAATTCACTAATTTCTGTATGACTTTTAACTTAGGCGATTAAATTTAAAGTTTCGTTTTGTTGAAAATTTATTTTTTTGTATTTGAATTTTTAAAAATAAAATAGTGTTGAGCATTCTAAAAAAATAAAAAAAATAATCAATATTATGTTTTTTTCTTTCAAATTAACTCAAACTATTCACTATAAAAAATTAAAAAAATTACGTAATAATTATATAATAGTAAATTTAAATATTGCTTTTATTATAAAAGTAGTTTTTAGGTGTATTTGAACAAATTGCCGAATTCTTAGAATTAAACGTCATTTAACGTTCATGAAATTTCGGTTGGTAGTGCTCGATACTGTTTCATTTGTGGATGAAATGAATTTTTTTAGCAAAAAGTATATTTTAAGCATCTCCCAAAATATTATACATGAAATACACTGGTGTGCAAAACTTAAGCAACAAGTGGTTTTTCGGACACAGCTACCCAACAAAGTATAAGATAGCCATGAAATTTCAGTATAATATGCACGAAATTCAGTAGAAAGATTATTTGTATGCAAATTTTAGAAATAAAACGTCGTAGGTGATGTAAGTGTACGTAAACCTTGTGGGTCAGAGCGCGCAGGTCAAAGCTGTGATAAAATGATGAAGAGCACCGTAGTTAAAGACATTCGCTGCAAGTGCAAGTGCTTTGTTTTGTGAAACATGTCTTTAAGAAATCATTTAGACGATTTTACTCGAGGAAGAATGACTGGGAAGCTTGAGGAGGGGCGTAGTGTGACCAGTGTCACCGAAGAGTTCGGGATCAACAAAAGTACTGTTTCTCGTGCTTGGAATGCCTTTAAAACTACTGGTACAGCTGTTCGGAAGGTTGGTGGTGGCCGTCCAAGGAAAACAACACCAAGAGATGACCGTTACATTGTCCTCCAGGCGAAAAGAAACCGTTTTCTGTAAGCGAGCGCCTTTTTCCAACAACTATGCACAGTCACAGGACGACAAGTATCAAGATTTACAGTGGCCTGACGCCTCAACAAAGGTGGCTTATTTGCTAGACGTCCTGAACGCTGCATACCTATAAAAGTTAGATATTCGCGACACCGTTTAGAGTGGTGCAGAGAACACGAAACCTGGACACCTCATCAATGGAGTCGCGTCCTCTTCACAGATGAGAGTCGTTTTAGTGCTACAAGCGATTCTCAACGTCAGTTGATCTGGAGAGAGGTTGGAGCTCGATTTCATCCCAATAACATCGCGGAAAGAGATCGTTACGGTGGTCCTGGAGTTGTCGTCTGGGGTGGCATTATGTTGAACGGGCGGACTGAACTTCAGATCTTCGACCGAAGTTCTGTAACTGAAGACCGCTACTGCAATGAGGTAATCCTACCCCATGTGCGTTTGTTCCGAGGGGCCATTGGACCAGACTTCATTTTTATGGATGACAAAGCCCGGCCACACCGTACTGCTGATGTTCAAAAGCTACTGGAAAGTTAAGATATCACACGAATGGATTGGCCAGCTTACTCTCCAGATCTAAATCCCAAAGAGCATGTGTGGGATGCATTAGGGAGACGTCTTGCGACACAAAAGTATCCTCCTGGTAACACCCATCAGCTGAAAGATGCGTTAAAGGAGGAATGGAGACGTTTACCCCAAGAACTCTTGGATAATCTGGTGCTTAGCATGGAGAGACGATGCCAACCAACAATTACAGTAAGGGAGGGCATATCCCATACTAGGGAACATCTGTCAGTTGTACTTACGCTTCTTCAGGCAATCGTGTGTAACGTCACTATATGTCAAATAAAGCCTTTTTTTGTTCCATACCCTACTTTAAGCTTTATATTCATTTCTGCGCCATTATTCTTTTACCATAGTTTAAGTACAAAATAATGTACATCATATTAAAATTTCATGTCAATCGGATGATTTCTTGTAGAGTTATGACAAAAAACGCACTTGTTGCTTAAGTTTTGCACACCAGTGTAATTAGTTTTAAAGCTTAAATATTGCGTATCTCTATATATAAAAGCCAAAGTCTGTTTGGATGTAAGTGTTCGCGAATGATTTTAGAACGAGAACACTGATTTTTTCTACGGTTCGCAAATTTCCAAGGGGTGGTTTGTTTCAAAGGGTTTTATGTGGCTCGGGCACAGCATCAAAAATATGAAATTTCATTGATGAAAAGCATGGTTATAGGTTGAAACATGCACTGTAATGGACATAGCATTTTTACAAATTATTTAAAAAATAGAAGCTGACAAATCAATTAGAAAAAAATTAAATTTCCTTTGAACTCGCTAAACTTATAGTTTAAGTGAAAAAGTAAAGCTTGCTATAAACAAATATGCCGGCTAATATAAGTTATCAAAAAATAGAAAAATAACACATTCTACCGTCAGTGGTAATGTTAAATCATTCTCTTTTTCTTATTCGTCAAAATTGCATTTCAATTTGAAGGCTTTTAAATTTAATAAATTGTAAACTAAAACAAACATATATATATATAGACTTATAAGCTCTACGGTTATTATGTGAGTTCTACAGACTGCTGCTGATTATTTTATCATACTTTTAGAAGAAAACTCCTAGCAGTGTATTATTTATTACAATAAAAGGTGCACGAAATATGAATCAAATCATGGGCGGTTAGAACTGATGATCAAGTTGTAGAGNTTCTAAAAGTATGATAAAATAATCAGCAGCAGTCTGTAGAACTCACATAATAACCGTAGAGCTTACGGTAAAGAACATTTTTTACTTTTACGGTTTTGAAACCGTTTACGACTAATATGGTTAATAAAATCATGAAAACGGAACTATACGGTTTTTAACCATTTACAACTAGCATGGTCTTAGAACTGTTAAAAATTTTATAGGATATAGGGGCTAGGCTTTTCATCAGTTAATGAGCATTGCGCTGTGGGCCAGAAGACTATGATCTTTGGCCAAAAGTAAAAATTAATTTTTCAACTAAATTATGTGTAGACAGTTTTAATATATCTCAAATTAGGTATTCATAATCATTCCAAACATTACAATTTACTTTTCGGACAGACAGGAGTACAATTTTATGAAAAATATGTTAACAAAAAGTTTAAATTTTAACTTTTAAATTTTTATTTTAGAAATATACATAGCAATTTCACTTTACTGTTACATTTTTATCAGAGTAATTAGTCTGAAATTATAGTACAATTTTTATCATTTGACATTTCTTATCATTTGACATTTTAAAATGTTTGAATGACTTTCGAAACTTAGTTCCACGAGATAATTAGTTAAACTTTCTTTTGTTGTCTTTTTTGATGTTCCTTCTTTCGAAAAAAAACTGCCCCATTTTGCCCGTATTGCAAAGGTGGACTTAATGTACCGAAAAACAAAAATTATGCTTTTTTCATGTTTTCGCGTTATTTTGTAATTAATTCGCGTTTATTGTAATATAACTTCGGAAATATAATTTGCTTTTCATTTTAATATAAAATTACGAAAATTACTATATTTTTATTGCTATATTTAATTATTTAAATTATATTTATTATGTTTTTATTTTTGCTTGCCATATTTCTGTAGCCATTTTGCTTTTTTTTTGGGTATTTTAGTATATTTCAAAATTTTAATTATGAATTCAATTTACCTGCACATAAAAACCCCAAAATACAAATTTTATCGAAATGCTAATTTTGGCCCGAAGCCTTGTATGCTGGCCCACTGTGCATTGGTCTGTGCTGGACACAATTTGGAGAGTGCATTACATGTGTTAAACACGAGGAAATATTGTGGGTCAAATCTGGGACTCGAACCCCAGTCATGAGACTGACAGACGGGTCTTCTCGGCTATGATATGTATGCTTTTGCAAAGAACTAAGTGGCTTTATAAGGTGGGCTTAGTTGATGCGATGAAATTCTGGTTGTTTAACCATATTATTTGGAAACAGTTAATAAATGTTTTTTCTTATATTAAACAGTCTGATTACCATCGTATTTATGGTTATTTAAGTTTTGTTTGTATATAGTAAAATGACAATAGAATAAATTGTTATTTAACTATTTTTTTCGAGAAATTTCTAACAGTGTACTTTCAAAAATGTAGATATTTAAAATTAGGACATACATATGTGCTAACTCTGCATAACGCTTTTTTTAATACTAAAAAGTGCTTTATTTTTTATTTTAGGTGATGCTATGGAATATATTCAAAACATGCCTTTTTCAACTAAAGATCGAAAAAATAGTCCTGGCTCTACCGACTGCTCTCAGTTGAGGAAAGGAGGATGGTGGTATAATGACTGTGCTAAGGCCAATTTAAATGGCTTGTATATTGCGGATGTAGTGTATGATAGCATAACATGGCTTTATTGGAAAGATACAACAACTTTGTCTAGTGTTGAAATTAAAATTCGACCTCATGGTTTTTAAATAAAATTTTCAAAATTGGATGTACGGCAATTAATTTCAAAAACACCTATCATTGAATCACGTTATTTCCTTTCCACAATTTTATCGTTATCTTAAATGCTTTAAATGCATTTGACTTCATTTCAAAATATATATTTTTAATAATGTCCATTGCATAAAGTTTTTATCTATGTATTCAAAATTGCATAAATAAATTTTCTCTTTAAAAATATTAAAACCAAAGAGAAAGAGAAGAAGATTCTAAATAACTTTTGATCTACTAATCAGATTATTTCGTACTTGAACTGTATCTTAATGACTCGTAAGTAGCTTTAATGTTGATTAATTAGTGCAGATTATGTTGATTAATTAGTTTCCACCTATCTCTTGCTTACACTTTTGAGGTCATATTTTCCAAATTGAGCCTCCTTCCGTAGTTCGATGGCCAAAAAGACAAGTACGCCAAAAACTTGTAGATTTATTAAGAAAAAAAAACAATGATTTTGTGTCTTAATTTAAAATATTGTCTATCCTCATAAATTAACATATTTCAGGTTAAGCACTCAAGCTATTAAGATGAGTCTTGGTCTCAAAATAAATTCTATCATTTCTTATATTCAGGTAGTTCTCCTTTTCCTAGCGAACTGTACAGGTCTAAAAACATTTTAAATCGAGTATTTTTAGTGATTATAAGGATATAATGTTTTAAATCTTTACAAAAAATTATAAAAAAAGTCATAAGATTATAATTTTACTATCACAACACAGTCATAGGTCAAATAAATATTTAAGTGAGAAATTTTCTAAAGTTATGTTTAGAGTTCAGAAATATGTATACGTACATATATATAGAAATAACTTTGAATACAAAATAATCTTCAATGCAGTTTTTAAACATTATTTTGTGCTTTTTATAAAATATAACATTTCGAAAGATGTAATATAAAAGGGGCGGAAAAACTGTATTATTTTGGACTTTGGCAACCCCTAACATCTAAATTATCAGAAATTTTTTATCTAAAAAAGTTCGTAAATGCGGGAAAAAACGTATTTGTGTCTAATTTTTTAATTATCTAATCTCTAATTTTTTAGTTTTAATCTAATGATCACACGAAGCTTATCTTTTATGTGAATTTTTGAAGATTATCTCAAAATTTATTCCGTATAATTTGTTTTTAATTTTGTTAAATGTGCGAATGACAGCAGGCTCGTACTAACCATTTGAAACTGAAAGAATTTTCAACAGGAGGCTTTCTAAATCTAACTTATTAAGAGGAAAACATATCTGTTATAACTAGGTAAATTGTATATTTTAAAAAAGAAATATTTCAAAATAGCTCCAAAGCAAAAGAGATGCTTGTTGGCGGCTGACAGGATCTGAACAAAGGACCTCCGGGTTGCTAATTCATAATCCAGCGGCCTTTAACATCTCGTTCTTATTTTTGGAGACTTTCTCTTCGGCTAGAGTTGGACACAATTATGATCCAAGCTTTCATTTTTTTAAAAAGAAATTCGTTACGTGAACTATAAAAAGCCTAGAATAATTTTTCTCATTAAAGAAAACGACAAACAGGAAAGCTTGTCGTAAATGGTCACTGGATCAGAAAATCATCTTCGGGTTTGAAGTAGGATGCTTTAACCACTATACAGATCGTCCTTGTCCAGGGTGAGTTGGGAAGCTTTATACAATAGCCACCGTAATGACACATCATGATATATATTTCATTCGCTCAATAGATTTTAAGTTATAGCGAAATAAAATTAAAAATTGTAATTAAAACTTTCGATCTCCTAATTAAGCTATTGGGGCAGCATTTTCCAAATTGCAACCATTCGAATCATTCAAATTGGAAATTAATATGCCGTTGTTGTGCCGCTGCTGCGGCCACAATATAAAGCTTTTTAACTAACGATGGATCAAATGTAAATAAGACTCTTTTAATAACAAAAAATTAAAATATAGTTTTAAAAAAATAAAAATTTTTTACTTTCCTACATAATTTCTGTGAACTCACGTAGGAATGTGTTATTATGTGTTTTCCAACGTTTACGTTTTTGAAGTTTTTTACTCCCGGTGGCATAGAAAGAGGAAGGACGTGTAAAGAACCCATTGCGCACAAAATTTTCTACCTCTTACTTGGATGAAAATCTCTCCAAGGCCCAAAGCTATTGGTGGTCCGAAAGTGCCATGTCCTGGTTATATGGAGGATGTTCAAATGTTTCTCAGTGTAATACCTGAAACATTTGTTGCGTTACTGCGGTTTTATGAGTTATCACATTATCCTGTTGCAAGAGTGCTGATCGGCATGCCACGTCTCTTTGGAGACTGAAGGACTGCTTTGTCTTTCTCTAAAATTTCTTAATAATAATTTGCATTAAATGCGCAGTACGCATAAGAAACAGACCACCCTGAATAACTTTTGATCTAATGATCGGATCTTCACGTTCTAGGACTCAATCTTAATAGCTCGGGAGGTTGATCTTAAATATGATAAGTAATAAATGCAGATGGTATTGTATGTTCTGGAATTAGACTCAAAAACGCACTTTCTCTAAACAAACATACCTGAGAAACTAAATTTCTAAAAGGTCAGCTTTTCCCCCCGTCTTAACCCTAAGGGGTTGAACGATATTTAAAGTATACAGGACTGTTCTTATTTCAGAAATGCTTCCATTTTCATTAAACAATTTCTAGCCGAGGAGGGCCTAAATTATTTAGCAGAGACAAGAAAGTGCCTTTAAGATAAAAGTAGCTGTATATTTAAGCTTTAAGTGGATTTTTTCATTTTACTATTCTTTTAATCGTATTGATAAGAAATATATATAAATAAAATAAAACTTCCTGACATTACTGACTCAATACGAATTAATGAATTTGTGCTAGTTAAGTTTTTTTTTTAATGAATTAGTGTTCGAATTAAAAGAAGAAGTTGTTAATGGATTTAGAGATTCTAATGCTTAAAACTTAAGAAAAAAAAGAGGGAAATCATTTTTTTAATCTTATTTTTTCAGAAAAAAGACATCTCTCAAATTTTAAGAGAAGAAATAGTTAACAAACTTTCATATGCAGTAGCTGGTAAAATTACCAGAACTGCATTTAGATATGCATTTAAAGTGAACTAGTCAGTTTTGTGGGTAACATAACGAATTTCATAAAATTTTAAAATAAATCAAACTGAATAATTGTTTTTAAATGAATTGATTTACGTTAAAAATATTTTCTTACTACAATCAAATGTTCCATTACAAGCAAGTATTTCAATTAAAATATGTCAATATTTATCTTCCAATAAGGCTTAAATTGAAATTAATTTCATTTTGGCTCATTTGGCATCATGGCTTCATAATTGCCATTTAAAAAGTTATCAAAATTATCCTCACTCACCTACTAGCTTGTTCACAGTATAGTGTGGTGGCTAGTGTGGTCAAAAACAATATTAAAAAAAATATTATGGAAAAACTAAGCAACGTTATAATTCTAAATGTAAACCAGGTGTCAAATAAATGTCCAAGTTATTTCTAAAAAAATATTGAATTATTTAAAAAATATATTTCATATGATTTTTGGAAAGACTTGTTAATAAAATGTTCACACTAGTTCCCTTTTTCCCCTCTTCTCTGTAAATTATAGTTCGAAGTTGAGTTTCAACTTTTCTTTTACGGTCATTCAACTTTTCTTTTATGGTTTTTAGTAATAAAACAGGTTTTACCCCTGATTCCGAAATAGTTTAATAAGATCGTTTGAGAGAAATGTTTGAAAAAGTGATTTTTCTCATTGGTGGGGGGTAGTAATAGCCATCGTTTGAGTATAAGTTGTAGAGGATATTGTTTTTAAAATATTTAAGAGACAATTTCAATGTTGTTTGGAAGGCTGCGGCTCTATTTAATAAAAAAGGTTTTATTTGCACTTTCTTTAATAATTAACTATTTTTTTCCGTTTTGTCATATAAGCTCAACGATCAACTTGTGAGCTGTGGTGGCTCAGGGGAAAGAGCGTTCGCCTCTCAATGAGTTGAAGCGGGTTCGAATCCCAGCGATGGCTGATCGATGTGAATTCAGCACCCAGTTCGCACCGACCACCGTGCTGAAGTAAAATATCATCAGTGATTGACGGATCTTTTGTTAGAGTCCCTTTACCGTCAGACTAACCGTTGGAGATTTTCGGGGTTTTATACATCATGTAACACAAATGGGGGTCAAAAAGTCTTCCATGAAGGCAAATTTTTCCCAATATTTAATCCAGGAGTTCCCTGGTTCAAAATTACAAGGCTACGGAGTTGAACATTGGTTGTCGTAAACCCCAAAAATTAGGTCGGCTGTTCCCCGACGGTTATAAAATAAAATAAAACAATGCTGCTCCGACATTACTAATTCAAATATAATCATAAATATTTGCTTGAAGGGTCTTTAAACTTGATATACACAAAGAGCAGAATATCCACCCAAGTTAATGTTTTCAACTACAGGCCCAACCATGAAAAACACCCTTTGGGACCACCAGGCCAGATCCTTGGTCAAATTATTAGACGCACTATAATATTCCATGTTAAAATCTTAATTATAAGGTGATATTATACAGCTTCATTGTTTGTACGCGACTGAAACCGGTTTGCACTTGTTTACGTTCGTGTATCAATTGGCTAAATTAGACGATACATAATACAAGTTCGACGATTGGATAAATTAGACGATATATTATAAAAATTTAGACGATTTATTATATCAGGTATTGTAATAGTATATTTTAATAATTAGACCAAATTATTAAACCCAATGTAGTAGTTTAATAATTGCATGTTTTGGACGAATTTATATGCAATACTTTAATATTAAAACATACATGTAATGGGTTTTTATTCATGAGATTTTTATAACTCCTATTTATTTTACTTTCAACGTACTGCATTAAATGGAACAGAGAAGGTTACTACCAAGCACCGAGTACATAATGAATGTACTGTTTTCCAGGTTGAACTTTTGTGTATAAACCTTGTTGTTAAGTGGATACAAAATTCTTTTAGTGAAAACCAAATTTTTAAATATCTCATTTGTACAGATTCTCTTTCTTCACTTTTTCTTTTGCGTGACACGACTTCTACTGAGAAGCTTGTGGTGGAAATTCACTCGATTTTGAACGCTCTTGAAAACGTAACTATTCATTTTTCTTACGTTCGTGGCCATAGCGGTATTTTGGGCAATGAAAGAGCAGACCAATTGGCTAGGGAAGCTACGTGTGGTGAAATAGACTTAAGGGTGTCTGTTCCAGCTTCTCACTGGAAGCGCATCGCTAGAGATAAAATCATTGCGGACTGGAATGCTGAATTTCTTGCTTCGCCTCGGTCGCTTTGGACGAAAAGGTTCTTTCCATCCATTTTTCACCGTTTGCAATGTAAATTCTTTGCAACTGATTTTAAATTGACCCAAATTTTAACAAACCATGGAAATTTTAAGAGATATTTATTTCGTTTCCATCTGCAGACCAGTGGAATTTGTGCTTGCGGTGATGCTGATGAAGATGCTGAACATATTCTTCTTCACTGTAGTCTCTATGCGAGTGCCCGAATGAATTTAAAGACTGATTTGAGACGTCTTTCAATTTGTTGGCCACCTGTCTTATCAGAACTGGTCAAAAGTATTGAAAGTCTTGCGGCCTTGCGGAATTTTGTTTTTAATGTAAATTTGTAAATTTTTCTCCTTTT